TTCCAAGCCTCAAACCACAACATGTACTTAGAAGGTAATTAACAATTACCACCAAAAAGACAGAAGATTTTTGTGCATTTCAACACTCATTAATCTGAGCTGCTGTTGACAGGAACTGAAAACTTTAAAGTGGAGGGGAGAACCTGAGTGTCCCAGTAGGAAGAAATATTCTCTCATATAACTTGGGCAACAGCCACAGGTTAACTTCTGTGGTTAAGTGTTTTTAATCCTTGTCAGGATTGCAGTGCAGGAAAATTAAGGAAAATAAGAATTCTGGTAATAATAATGGAATAGAAGTTTCACAATGTAAAAGTTAATTTCTTGGTTTGCGTTCCAGGTAGTAGCTGTAAAATAAACCTAGGGAGGTGTGCCCTGAAAACCCCAAAACCAAATTGCTATACTGCACAGCATGATGTGGAACAGCAGCTGTCTATAGAACCTCAAAAACCTGAGCAGGAAGAGCTAAAATCGATCAGTAAGGACTTTGTTGGTGGTTGTTCCTCTCACCTCATATAAAGAGCACAGAGAGGTGGAAGTAGTCAGCAGGTTTTCAACTGAGAATTACTTTCATCTTCATTCCTGTCAGCTCCAGTTCTGCTAAATGCCTGAACACATCCTTATTTATGTACATTCAATCACTGACTTCATTGCGAGATAAAGTTTAGCGCATGCTTAAATGCTTTCTTGAACTAGGGCCAAAAGCTGCTGCTGCTACTAACATCAGTCCCAGAGGGAACTTTGCATCTTTCATTACTTCCTTTATTGTACACCAAGATAGAGGCCAGCTTTGGAAATGTGGTAGGAGTTGATAAATGTCACCTGCCTGTTTAAAGGAGCAGAGCAGAAGTGTTGGATGACAACGCACATACTGTCTTCCTTCCTCTCCTGTCTCACGCCCCTGCACTTTAGTGGTCCTTACTAAGCCAGGGTTGCAGAATGGCAGGAGACTCACTGAGCCACAATGCTGTGTATCCATCTACTGCAGGCTCAGCCTTTAATTCTGAAAAACGAGAGAATAAATGTGGTTAGGTGTTTTGCCCTGTTCTTTCCTGCTTTGAGACTGTTCAGAAGCTTGCTTGTCTCTTTGCTAGAGATATTCATTCAAGGATTTGCTGAAGCGTAACTTACCTTGAGCCACTTTGTTCTTCTTGATTGACACAGGCAAATTCATGCACATACACACCCAGTCCCTCTCTTCTGGGAACACTGATGTAACCCTGCATATTTGTAGAGGAAACAAGCCAAAAACAGGCCAATGCACAGTATTTATAAAATGATCCAAAGCAACTCTACCTTCTTCCCTTTGATGCTGCAGATAGCAACTACAGTCAGTTGGCTGATTGCCTCTGCCTGTCTTTTGTAATGCATTGTGCAGTTTTAATACAAGAGACTTGCTGGGTTGCTGTCAGTGACTAAAATCCAAAATGCTGTCTATGAGAAAAAGTCTGAACCTTATTACTAGGTTAAGTTGCATCGAGGAATAGTGAAAAATGAAGCACTGTTTTGAAAGAGCATCTGATCCTGTTTTCTTCATCTCTTTTCTGACTACAGAGCTCTTCTGTATCTCCCTCAGCCAGTTTCAGAACAGCAGAAAAGCACAGAAATTCAACAGATTATTCTTCAGATAGTAAAAAGCAGAAAACTGAAGAGAAGGAAATAGCAGCTCGTTACGTGAGTAAATTGTCTACACAGTGTATTGTTGAACTTAAGTGTTTCTCTGTAATTTCACCTCATTCCTTCTGCATAACTGATTTTGAAATTAAGAGTCTGATTTTGTACAGATTCTTCCTGCCGCCTCTAACTTCTGTGCTGGGTAGAAGGTTTTGGTGTGAGGATGGATAGTGTTTTTAATGATATAAATACAGAGCACCTGGAAGGTGTGTGAGGAGAGGGCTGCGCTTAGGTTGGGAATTGATAGATCTGGACTCTAGCTTGCCTCTGCTTCTCAATGCAGTGCATCTTTTGGTGAGGATTTTCATCCTATGTCATTGTTGACCAATGTGAAAACAGGGAAGAATGCTATAGCTGTGGCAGCCTGTTAAGAAGAAGCCCTAGAGGTGACCTAAATGCTGAAGCATGGTAAAAGTAAATGCTGTGTTGCATAGTTTTGAGCAGCCTTGCATTTCATCAATTTGTGCTTTCTTAGCACTTAAGAGATGTTTGCATATTAAATAAATGATTTTAATGCGTTGTGATTTTGTCATTGCAGGACAGTGATGGTGAAAAGAGTGATGACAACTTGGTAGTTGATGTTTCCAATGAGGTATACACAATGGTGGATTTTCTGCCTTACAGTGGTGATCGTGGGGGGTCTCTTCAGTGGTTTCTGTGCATATTTGATATATGAAAAAGATTACACCTTTTGCCATAGTAAAGGAGCTTGAAATGCATGAGGGAATCTAGTCAGGTCATCTTTCTTTGGAATGCAAATCAGATAAATAGCACTTACTTCTACAAAGGACCTTTCTGTTTCTTGTATGAACCAAAAATCTGCTTGGGATATAGCCCAACACGGTGGATAGGATGCACCTTGTCATGGTATCTGTGTTTTTCTTCACTCTGGAAAGTGAAAGTCACTTCATGACTTTATTTGGGAACTTTAACAGATCTGCCAAGTGCCTCAAACCTTTACAGATTGTCACCTGACAAATGAGATTTACTTACCTATTTCAATATCCATAGATATTAACATTATTTTTCATTGTTCATGTCACCAAATTTTCAGGCTCTTTAAAAAAAATAAATTCTCTTTCATGATTCATCTCGATTTTACAATTTTATCAGCTAAATCAATTAAGAACACAAGGAAGATGTCACTTTTTATGACAGATCTTCATTCCAAAGTGAGAATTGCTCAGGAGAAGCACTGGTGGCTAGTATGAAGTTCTTATACTAACCCGCAATGCTGATGTTTAGGATCCTTCCTCTCCCCGGGGGAGCCCAACACACTCTCCACGAGAGAATGGCTTGGACAAGACTCGACTGCTGAAGAAAGATGCACCGATTAGTCCAGCGTCTATTGCATCCTCCAGCAGTACTCCTTCCTCCAAATCCAAAGAACTTAGCCTTGTAAGTGCTTCAGAATGCTCCTGACCCATGGTCATAAGCTGAAATACATGGTTACTGGATTTCTGTCTGGACACAGTTTGGATTTCCACAGCTATAAGTAAAGCTCTATGAAGCACTGTTTTACAGTTTGTTTATTTTATCTCTTCAAGGAAATTTAATAAAATAATAATGAGAAAGTCCACAGCCTTTTTTGGGGGGATAGGAAGAGGTTATTTTCACTGGTGGTATGGGTAGATGATGAATGTACTGTGCTGAGAGATGTTTTTCTCCTCCCCCATATGAAAAACTGTCATTCTGAGAATAAATAAAAGTACACAGGGGTTCCTTGAGCTGTTTTTCTGTGCTGTGTTTTATAGCAAATTCGGTTCCCTGCTTGGATGTGATTTGGTTGTTAGCTGTGTTTGAATTACCAAGCCATATACAACAACAATAATTTTTATTTTTCTATCTAAAAAGTAATCTGTCATTTACAAGAGCCTTCTTTGACTTGCATTGCAAATCACAAAGCAAAAAAAAAAAAAAAGCTCTCTGCAAATCTCGGGTGTTCTTTCTTTTCCGTATTGCAACCACAGTTAATCATTTTCCTGAGCTGCACAGTAATTCCCCTCTCAGTTCTTTGCAGGTCAGGGTACCCGATTATTTAAAGAAATAAAATAAACAAAAAGAAATCTCAAAGTGAAGGTATTGCTCCGGAAAGGTGAAGGAGTGACAAATTCAGACGTGAGAGTCAAACCTGGGTGGTTTGTCTGATGAACAAGCTTGTCACAAGAGGGGCACTGCACAGTTCTTGACTTTATACCCATCACTGTCTTCGTCCTGTGTTTCCAGCACCATGTTTGGCCATGAGTTCTTAGTCAGTTGTCGAGATTTTGTAATTGTTCTTGTTCACCTGGCAGTGGCTTCTCACAGAAACTCAAAATTAGAATGGGAGCAGGCCCACCACCAGCAGTGTGAGATCGCCAAGAGGTTTCACATGTGCTGACAGTGTAATGGTCAGTCAGCAATGATTTTCAGTCATTGAACCTCATTCTGAATCATAGAAGTGCCCCTGATGGACAAAGCTGTGGATGCTATAGTTAATTCTCAAAGCCATTCCATCTCTTTCAGTGTCTCTGCCGCTTCTCTTCTTTGCCAGAGACTATTGAAACCCAAACCCAAAAGCTAAATATCACTAATCACACACACCTGGTTGTCACTGGTGCACTTTCCAATCATTGCTAAAAATGTCAAATGACTAACAAACTGTCTTCTTTTTTCCTTTTTGGTGATTAGAATGAGAAATCTACCACTCCTGTGTCTAAATCAAATACCCCAACTCCACGGACTGATGCCCCAACTCCAGGCAGCAACTCCACTCCCGGACTGAGGCCAGTGCCTGGCAAACCCCCAGGTGTGGACCCTCTAGGTTAGTGTCTGTGTATTTCAGTGTTGTGAAACGATGGCCATTTGTCCCTAGCCAGGTTCCCTTTAAATCTACAGTGATGAGGCTGTGTGTTACAGCTGTTTAAACTTGATGCTGAGCTTGTTCCTCTGTAGTTTAATACAGCACGTGCACATACATGTATTTTACTGTTTGACAAACACGTATTTTATGACTCGAGGTTGGGTGTGTGACTTCTCTCTCTTTTTCTTTCTTTCTTTTTTTTTTTTTTCCCCCTTTGAAAGCTTCAGGTCTAAGGACACCTATGGCAGTGCCGTGTCCTTACCCTACTCCGTTTGGGATTGTGCCACATGCTGGTATGAATGGGGAGCTGACCAGCCCTGGAGCTGCATATGCCGGTCTACACAATATTTCCCCTCAGATGAGTGCAGACGC